TAACCCTTGATCTGAAACGCAATAGCATCCACCACTTCACAGCATATAAGATGTGCACACATTTTAATGAGCCACCTTAATTGGCAGCCTCAAATTTTCAGGTTTACACCCAGGCATAAACTTTTTGTGTAAAGTAAACAAATTGCTTGACATCTTGGCACACGCAGGATGATCAGGTTTGAACTATTTCAGGATAACTAACAATTAACATAGAGTCATGTACATCGATACTTAAATTGACTGACAATCATGATTGATACAAATACTCCAAAGGTGTTTCTTATATCAACACAATTTCACAACCGCACATGTCAGTTTACATAACAATAAGCACGAAATTTGGATATTAAGTTCCTAACCCTTGATCTGAAACACAATGGCATCCACCATGTGCACATATTTTAATGAGCCACCTTAATTGGTAAACTTGTGTTTTCAGGTTTACACTAAGGCGTAAAGTTTTTGTATAAAATAAATTACATACTATTTGACATCGTGGTTCACACAAGCAGATCTGGCTGAACTAATTCGAGAAAACTTACATATTGCCCAAACTCAGGTACATTAGATACTCAAATTGGCTGACAATTATGAAAGATACAAAAAGAGAAAATGCTATTTTCTTACTCCCTTGTAATCATTCCCACTTGACATTTTGTGGCCTTCAAGACAGAATTATAATGAAGAAATTCTCTTAACTTATGCAAAATGTTTTTATCCTAAAATAGTATTTCAAAATTCTCTAAGAAAATTTTGACATAAGATACAGGCATACAGCATATGAAATCGCCATATTTTACAGGAATCTAACCACACTTTGACTTGGAACAGGTCATTAGAACATTATATGCAGAATAGAGGGAGTACAATATGCGCTTCAAAGCACAATATGATAGTGATATACTATGCCCTCTAGCTTTTCAGTACAAAAAAAAAATGTGAATAAGCCAATGATAAGAGCACACAATAGATACAACATCGAAATAATTTTGCACGGACAATGAAACCTCAACGCAAATACTATGAAGAACACACATAAAAGTGAAGCTGAATGGAAAACAGATAAAATAGAGGGGGTGGACAGGTATGGAGACTTACAACATGCTCAGTATGCAGAACTTCTGCAACAACATCATAATACCCATGAAATGCCTTCTTAAAGATTTTCTTCTGATCAGCAGTGACATTTAGGCATTTGAAAAACTGTTATAAGATACTAGTCTTCAGAAAAACTGCACCACGGGATTGATAACACTACCGGGAAATTCCAAAAATGTTATTATCGTTATGATAATCTAAACAGCGATGTATTGAATACACAAGGTTAAAAACCTGAAAAAAAAATTAGGGTTAAACAACACTAATAGCTGAAAAACATGAATCAAAAATAAAAAAGTAAAACCTAGGTTTAGATATAGGGAGAAAAATACCAGCGAGAGAAAGCACGGGAGACTCAGCTTCAACTCTCTTCCTCTGCTTGGGTGGGTTGCTGCTTGTTGATCCACCTCCTGCCATCATCGAACAAGATATCAAAATTACAAGAAAAATTAAAAAGAGGTTTCTAAGAATCAAAAAATTACAATAATCATCGAACAAAAGGGACAAAATCAAACTTAAAATCAAACATCACATACAAACTGAAACTCAAAAACAACAAACAAAAAAGGGCACCAAAATCACATAAATTATTTTCATAATCACATAAATTTACATCCAAATTTATTTTCAAAATCACATTAGATACTACTATACTCACAAAACCATTACAAACAAAAAAGGGCACCAAATCCGCACAACAAAGCATTCAAACATATATCATTTAGTCACTTCCATAACGTACAATTTAATAATGCATACTAACGTACAAAGAATCAATTACATAAACCCTAGAAATTGAATCTAAAAAAGAATCAAAGTAAAATTTAAAATTTAAGTACTTATAATTTGAATCGAAGTAAAATTCGCACACTTCAATATAAAATCCTAAAAGTTAAACAGAAACAAGAATTAAACATCAAGGAGTACGTCATTTCAATTGAGCCTCGATGATTTAAGGAGTACCTCACCCTTTAATCGCAATCCTCTACAAAGTAGCACAAAAAAAAATCAATAAATCTGTATAAATTGAAATTTAAACATCAAGTTACAAATAATGAAAAGGAAAAGCATGATTAATTGTGAAACTTCACAAAAACTGAATGAAACAGGAGATAATTTGAATGAAACTTGTTTCAGAAAACCCTAGCCATCGATGGCGTTGCTTGCGGCGCAGTGATGGAGAAGGAAATCGAAGGAGAGAGAAAAGGAAAGCTAAAGAGTTAGGAGAAAGACTTATGTATTAGTGGAGATCAATGAAATAGATTGATCAATAGTGTTCATCAATCTATTTCATTGTAGGACACTTAGGAGAAAGAGTTATGTATTAGTGGAGATCAATTGAATTGCTAAGAGTCTCTATGAATAATACGGAACGTACAAATTCGATTTTTGGACAATGATGCTTTATCACACATATAAATAAAATAAGTTTGTTTATCGAGCTACTTCTAAATATCTTAAGTTGAAATTTAGATTTAAATTTAGACAAACTTTAGTGTGGCCAGCCATAATTTTGTTTTTTTTAATCCTACACCACAACTCCACCTCTCACCCCTGCATCCTTCAGCCACCACAATCAATCAAGCCAACAACCTAACCAGCCCCTAGTTTCGATTCAGCCCGACTCATCACAACAGCAACAACAACCAATCACCACCCTCCTCCACCGCCACAACCGCACTCCACCATCGCCGCCCAACTCACCCACGCACTCCAACAACACCACCGAACCGTTGCTGCTGCAGCATCGGTAGCCACACAATCACCTAGTTGTAGCTGCAGCCGCCAACAACACCACCGAACCGCCGCAACAGACCACCACTGCACCTTCGCACCATCACAACGACCCCAATTGCACCAATTTCGGTTCATCTGCAGCGGCCAACAACACCACCGAACCCCTGATGATTGTTTTTGGTTCTACTCTCGAGTTGGTTTGTTCTTCTCCTTCTCCTCAATTCCTCTATTCTCCAGAAATTAAACTTTATTTGATATTCAAACAGTAGAGTTAAAATTAATTTATGAAAAGGGGTTATCAGTTAGTAGGGGTTACTTGGTCGGGAGTTACTTGGTTGGTCAGGGGTTATTACACTACTAGAAAACAGCCAATCAACGACGGAAAAAATCCCTCAGAAAACCCTGAAATTCCATCCATAAGCACCGTCGCATTACACTTTGTAGGAATTTCGCGATATTCCGTCGGAAAAGTCCATTCCGACGGAATTTCCGACTGATTTTTAACTGTCGGAGTCAATTTTTACTTAAATGGAAAGTCCGTCGCAAGGTTCCGAGTAAACTTCCGACGGAATATTCCGTCGGAAAAACTATGCTTCCGATGAAATTACCGTCGAAAATTTTAATAAAAAAACAGTAACCCACCCCACGACCGTACCAACCACCCCACCCCACCACCGTAACCCCATTAGCCACCCCCTTACCCACCCCACCACCGTAACCAATCACCCCACCCCACCCTACCACCGTAACCCCATTAGCCACTCCCTAACCCACCCTACCACCGTAACCAATCACCCCACCCCACTACCGGAACCCCATTAGCCACGTAACCAACCACCCCACCACCGTAACCAACCACCCCAACCCACCACACCACCGTAACCCCATTGCCCCACCACCAGAAAATCCGAAAATTTCCAGAAAATTTCCAAAAAAATCAGAAAATTTCCAGAAAATCTAGAAAATCAGAAAAGCCGAAAATTTTCCGGAAAAAATAGAAAAAACAACCCACAAATATCCAGAAAATCCGAAAACAACAAAAAAAAAAGATTCATACCTTGATTCCACTGCATAAAACCTCAAATTTGGGTTTAGAAGGCCAAATTCGACTATGAAAACTCTAGATCTACGGTTTTCATGGTCGAATTTGACCCAAAAACCTTCGTTTTAACGATGGTGGACGACGGTGCATTGTGGTTGTGCTTTGACGGTGGTTTTCAACGACCATGAAGCGAAGAGAAAAGAAACTAACAGAAGTAGAGAAGCGAGAGAGAGAGAGGAAGACAGGAAAGAGAAAGAAAAGAGGCAGAGAGATGAAGGAGGAGAACGAAGGAAGGAGGAGAACGAAGAGGAGAGGAGAAAAAAGAAAAAAGAGGCGGAAGAGAGGAGAGAGAACAGAAATGAAAAGGGTAGGGTTTCCGGGTTTTGTAGGTTTTTTTTTTTTTTTTTTAAGTCAAAATCAGTCGGAAAGGCTTTAAATTCCGTCGGAACTTTCCGACGGAATTAAAATCCCTCGGAAATTACTATGTTCTGACGGATTTTTTTCCCTCGGAATTTTCAGCTTCTGAAGGAAATTTTTCGAGGGAATATTCCGTCGAAATTAGTAAATTCCGAGGGAAAAAATTTCCGTCGGAATATTTCCGAGGGATTTCCCGTCGCAACTCAGCTTTTCCGACGGACTTTTCTTACAGAACCATATTTCGTAGGAAAATTCGAATTTTCCAACGGAATTTGAGTCCGTCGGAAAACAACCTATTTCTAGTAGTGTTACTTGGTTAGGGGTTACTAGGTCGGTCAGGGGTTATTAGGTCGATCAGGGGTTACTCGGCTGGTCAAGGGTTACTTGGTCAGGGGTTGTTACTTGTGTGTTAGCTGGCCACACAGTGTGACCAGTCACACACAAAAGTTTCTGTTAAATTTATTATTTGCATATCCACAAATATGAAATAAATAAAAATTTATATTAAAATTTATTAGTCATACTTCCAACAATCTATGTATACTATTTCAAGTGATTATCTAATTGAACTATGGCTTGATCTCAGAGATCCTTTTTGGAATTTCAAATTTTAAATTCTAATTTTACCATTTAGTTAATCTATGATATTATTGATTAAAGTTTCGTGTTGATTCATTTATGTGCTTGTTAAACTAAGAAATTTATCTTAGAAGAAACAGAGTAACAATTGTTCATTTATATAACATACCCTGACTACACACAATTCACAAGCGCACATCCTAACAAAAGACATTCCAAATTGCGGAACTACAGACCTTCTATAATACACAAATTGTCCAACATACATGATTAACATTGCTCCTAATCATGCTCTAAGTTACCCTGCTGTTGCTTCACAAACATTTGGAATGGTCATCAACCCGTTCAACAGCGAGGGAGCAGTAGACATAGCATGATCAATAAGCGTTGCGCCCGCTTCTTGATGCATCATAAGCTGCCTTAACTTGGATTTCACCTCTGTAGGCATACGAACAGGGCGATAATTTTTGCCAAGAAGAACAACAACTGATTTTGCTTCTAGAATCGGCTGTTATACAAAAGGTTGTGGAAGTTGTTAGTTAATTAGCAAGCTAAAACAACAATAACAGCTAGTAAAAGAGTAAGAAAAAATCAAACCTCGTTATTTGGCAACTTGTAGATATAATGCTCAAAGAATATACGAGCAGCTGAGGATTCTGAGACCTTCACCTTTAGAACAAACTTGTCTCCACTCTGCATTACACGAAATAAGCACGCAAGTGCGTCAGTAAGGTATTATTATAAAATTTCGTCGGGTGGCCAAGGGCAAGTCATAACTGAATATCATTTACATACACGAGTTAAGGGGCGGAGCCACCATAACAATATAATAATGGAGTCAATTGACCTCATTTGAATTTTAAACCTTAGAAAATTTCTCTACAAGATTCAGGTATTATTTTACATAATTTGTTATAAAAATTTCAGCTATTATAACCAATACTTTTTATTTTGTACCTAGTAAATACTATATTAAAACCGTCAAAACGAGGGCGCCCCCATTACTCACTGTGAGAAACGTTTTTGTTTCTCACAGTGACAGTTTCATAAATAAAATGTACCACTTTAGTCACGGTGGTACATTTTATTTACGAAATGGATGATAAAATTGTACCACTTTAGTCATGATGGTACATTTTATTTACGAAACTGCTACTGTGAGAAACAAAAATGTTTCTCACAATGAGTAACACAGATTTACTGCGTCAAAACGGTCTAAACAATAATGTACAAATGGAGTATTTAGGTTGAAGCATACCCTAAGTTTGGGTTGTCTGTCAATGATAACCAATCCCAACATTGACATGATATTCATTCCCTCCGTTATTTCAAGTACAACTCTTTCCTCTCATATGCATATCATTACAAAAAATTCAACCCAAACTTCTAAAAAATTATGCCGGTCAAACAGGTACACTTAAAAACTAAACAAGGAAGTACTTTACTTTCTACTCTCAATAATGCAAAATAAACAGCCAAAAATGATTCAATGAATAAGGTCGAAATGTGCATATGTACCTTAAGTGGTGCGAGGAAAGTGTGAGAAAGTTTTGACAACGCTAAAGCACCGCCGTTGCTCTCCACTGTTTTAGCATCCAGACCAATGCTTTCTAATATCTCATGATGTGCTGTGTATAATTTAATAAACATCAATGGATGTGTCAATTTCCATAAATAGTCACATTTTAATAATAAATCACTCACTTTCCTTTTCTTTTTATTAGGATAAATCATTGTAAAGTTGTACACTTTAAAAAAATAAAAAGAAAAAATTCCTATTTTTTTAATCCCAAAGAGGCTAAAAGCAGAACATGCATGTCATCAATACACCTTAATATATACTTCACATATTTTTACGTTAAAAAATAATATTAAATTTAACTTACACCCTACCATATAACTAACATAAATGCATGTTTTTGTAACGTAGTAGTATGTACGTACCAAGTTGACAATAACTCGAATAGACTGCATTGTTAACAACACCATATTGATCCAATTCATAGTCCCGTACTTTGAGTTCGATCTCTAGAAACCCACTCATCCTGGCAATAAGAATACACATGAAATATTCAATTAGTAGACTGTTATTAAGAGTGTCCAAAAACATAAATAACTAATATTACTCCGTATAGACTATGACTTTCACCAATTTATCTCTTGTTATATACAAGCTAAGATTAAGGAAAAACTTAAATTATGAATGTGGTGAACAAATATAAGTAATTAACTAGAAGAAAAGGAATTACTGATTGGGTAAACATTGTTGAGGGCTAAGTGAGGAACGATGTGGTGGGCAGCATCGGAGGCTAAAATCGGACGATTGGGATAGGGAGAGAGGTTGATTACTAGAAAAAATTGGTTGACGACAACAAAAATTGAAGGAATTAGGTTTTGCATGTGACATTACATGCGTTGGTGTGACTGTGATGAAGCTAGAAAGGGCTTGTAGTGTAGTCATTTTTGGTATAAGTATCATTGTGCGTAGTTAGATAATATATATGAAGAGTGAAAGAAAAGAGGATGATGGAGAAATGTTTGCAATAGCTTGTGACATTATATAGTAACGAGCCATAATTAGAACATTTTATCATGTGATTAGTAAAAATAATAGTCTATTAGTAAAGTAAGCAAATAAAAAGAGATATTAGAGGGAGAAAGTGAGAGGAAGATGAAGAAAATCAAAAGGACGAGAGATCATTGGAGGAAATAAATAAAATTATCCGAAGTGATGATGTTTTAGTCACGTTTGGTTACGACTTAAAAATATGGTTTTAAAAATAAGTCAATGAAAAAATCTTTAATTTATTGGCCGAATACATTGTCAATGTATATTGTTTCTTATTGAGAAAACATTTATTATTCCCGTTCCAAAATAATTGTCTCACTTGAAATTACACAGAGTTTAAGAATAATTTATTTAATTGTAGGATAACTCGTATTATTTTTCTTTCAGTTGTTTTTTAATATCCCACTATCATAATTTTTACATTATTCACTTACATTACTTTAGCTAATGTTTGTGCTTTATACATAAGACTATATATGGTTATTGTTTCAGGGTTTTCTGATGTCCTGCGGGAGAGTTACAATTCCGAGACTGGAACCGGACGCCTGTACCTGCAAAATAACGGAGACTCCTGAGAGCTCCGCCTCCAACGGTCAAGTTAGTACCTGATTAAGGAGTAATTAATACGGAAATTAAAGTAATAAGATCTCTCTAGGTGAGAGTGTTTAATGTTGGTAATCTGCTTTGTTAGCGAGATTAGCCGGTTATTAGTGTTCCGTAATGTTTCTGTTCTTCAGGTGAGATTAATTGCTTGATCAATTGCTCTCTCAATTGCTTGATTGCTTTCCTTTTTTTTTCTTTAATGAGGATTAATTAAGTATTTATAGTCTTGAGAAGCGTGCCACTCTCTAGGTTTAGGGTAAACCTAGGGCTGACCGGGCCTCTAGACAGGATTGGGCCTTGTTGGCCGGTTTTCCCATTTGGCATGGGTGGACACGTGGCGTGCCTCGATTGGTCCGTAGAGGACGTATCTGTGATTGACACGTGGCAGGCTCCTATTGGCCTACGTGAAGGACACGTGGCGGAACCTGGTTGGTCCACTTGTCAGACGGTGATTGGTGGATAAAAATCCCCTAATCATTTGCCCCTCACAGGTGGCACGTGACTGGTCACGTGTCGCCTGTGACAGGTGTCGCACGGTGACAGGCGACGGCCTGCTACAGGTGTCACCTTGCAAACGGCCGAGAGATTTTCCCGCCCAAATTTTGAATTTGGAAGCGACCCTTCGCCTTCTCACTTTGCCTATATAAGGAAGTGCTGACTTCGGTCATTTTCACATTTGAGAACTTTGCGAGAACATTCGGACCCCTGAACTTGCTCTGACATTTCGGACCTTTTCTGCCTACCGCCTGTTCTGACAAGCCGACTGCACCAGATTTCCAGAACTTCATCAACCGTCACTCGTTCAGGTAACTCAGTTCTCTTACTCTTAATTTTCTTTTTGTTTTTTGAAATGGCACCACGGAAGGACACGACACGACCTAAGTTAGTGATCAGCCGGTCACCGGGGACGGCTGAATCTAGGACTAGGAGTGCCGCCTGCCCTTTTCTGGACCCATCTTTGCCCTTTATACAAAGTCCGACTGTATCTGTGTCTATGCAGAACGTGATGGCCAGAAACAAAAAAGACTGCTATGATCTCAAACTCAGACGGCTCCTCCCAAAGGGTTCTCATTAGTGAAACATCTGACCAGGCGCCAGATGTAGAATTGAAACGAGGCGGCTGCCAAGCCGACAGTTCTGAGAGAGGGGCCAAGGTGGTCCCTTCCCATTTTACCGTTGATATGTCTAATTTTCCTCCTGCTCCTTCTAAGGTAGAGGAGGCGGGCCCCTCTGGGAGAGGGGAGGAGTCGTCCTCTTCGGACTCGTCAGAGGACGAGTCCGAGTCCAACTCTTCTGGCCACAGTTCTCCAGGCTCAGAAGAAAGAAACAGCCGCCTACAAGAGGCGAGGCTTTCTCATGCAGTTGAGAAGGGGGACAATTGGGCGGAGCCGTCCGCCTCTTACAGAGAGGAAAACGCCCCCTACTACTGCATGGTACCCCGGGGCCGGATCGCAACCATGCAAGACAAAGTGGAGAGCTTTATTGCTAACCACATAATGGGCCCGGAATTTTTACTGTTCGTGCCGGATCCAGAAGACACTGTCGTCTGGCCGGCTGGTACCAGCTATGATGACGGCTGCTTTGGCTGCTATGTGGCGGCCATCAAAGCTGGACTGCGCTTCCCATTACATCCGGCTGTTCAGCGGATTTTAGATGGGTATGATTTGGGGTTATGGCAGTTAGCCCCCAACTCTTGGTTAAACGTACTCGGCTATGTGGCCGGGTGCGAAATGTACGGGGTGGAGCCAAGCTTTGAGGCTTTCGCCCACATGAACTATCTCAGCCGGACCCCTAAGTCGGGAGGTACCGGCTGGTATCAATTAACAAGCCATAGGGGTTACCTCATGACGAGAGGTAAGGCGAACAAATGGAAGGATTGGCGGAACACCTTCCTTATCATTGAGGGTTCAGACACGGAGCTGAACCAACGTTTTAACAAGTGGAATAGGGATCCGCCTCTTCTCGCAGGCGGCCGCAGCATGCCGCCTGTTCCCCCAAAGGCTAAAAGAGAGATCCTAGACAAAGGACTCTTCAAAGTAGAGACTAGGGTGAACTCTACTTCAGGGGTACGAGAGCAAGTACCCCTAAACTGCGTCCCGAGCTTCAAGTGGCTCTATGACGAGTACTTTTTGGCCGCCTGTGGCCTCAGCAGTCGGTGCTCTAGAGGTAGCCGGCCTGTCAAATACTCTGTTTTTTCACGCTTTGTTTACTTGGGATTTTACTAACTTTGCTGTTTATTTTTTGCAGCTGACGCCATGAGTAAAATAACAGCATCCAAGACTGCGGCGGCCATGTTGCGGGCCTCTCTCATGCAACAGTCTTGTACCGACTCCCCCAACAAGGGGGCACCCTTGGTAGGCTTCGAAAACTCTTCTTCTTTTAGGAGTTGTCTTATGCATATACTAACTCTTTTTATTTTCAGTCGGGCACTCCAAGAGCTTCTTCCTCGCAACAGCCGGACCCCAAGGCCCGGAGGACGACGGTTGCAAGCTCTCCTGGGTCTTCCAGGAAAACAGTGGCGGCTGAGAAGCAGCCGGCCACTTCTTCTAAAACCCCGGCGGGGCCGCCTAGAAGTATGGACAATTACTTGTAAAAACTCACTTGCTTCCTTCTTGACTAGGTCTAACTTGCTTTTTTACGCTTGATGCAGCCGGCCCTCAGGGGCTTGACTTGGTTGAGGTAGCCAAGTCCATGATCAAAGTAGTTCCTCCATCTGAAAGGGAGGCGGTCAGGGGTGCCGGCACCCTTGACCTTGATGGGATTGCAGGGGTCCTTGCTGAGGTATACTTTTTTGAGTATTTGAATTCCAGGACGCCTGTTATCTTTTTTGTTTGGAAACTGACGCCTGTTTTCTTTTTGTACTTAGGCCCTGCTCCGAGTTAACAGCCTTCGCAAGCCGATTGATCGGAAAAACAAAGAGGTAAAGGCCGCAAAAGCTATGGCCGCCTCCAACTGTGATAAGGCAATGTTTCAAATTGCCCAAAATGAAGTATTGACCATTGATATTCTTTATTATCAGGCGCAGGCTACCGCCGCTGTTCGGGCTCAGTTAGAGGCGGCCCAGAAGAAGAATGACGAGCTGGAGGCGACCGTCACAAATCTTAAGGCCGAGCTGAAACCTCTTCGCCAAAAAATGCACTCTTACGAAGCCATGGAGAAATCTTTGGCCAACGTAAAAGAACGTCTGGTGAGCCAAGAGAAGAGTCTTACCCAAGAGCTCTCGGAAAAGGCCGAGCAAGAGAAGAAAGAGCTCGTCCGGGAGATGGTGGAAGACTCCGCTCAAATCCAGCGCATGACCTGGGGCCGCCTGTTCCCCAATGCCGACTTTGCCTCATGGGAAAGAACGTACCGCCAGTGTTCGGAAACATATAATCAAGAGATCCTGGCGGCTGCTGAAGAAGAGGCGTTGGGAGATGCGTTGGAGGAGGAGGAAGAGCCGGTTGTGGCGCTTGTGCCACTTGGGGGTAAGGCATCAAAAGAGGATGCAGCTAAAGCCGAGTCCAGCAAGAAGAGTGCTGACCAGGCGGCAGCTGCTAATACTGAACTGCCCCCTTCTTAAGCTTAATGTATTTTTTCCACGGCCTGCGTGCCGTTTTCTTTGTATTTACCCGGCCAGGGGGCCGGGGCTTTGAATATTTTGCTGGTCTTTAATGACCGGCTTATTTTTAATCAAATTTTTGTTTTGATTCAAATTTGTCTAAGTATTCCATATCTAATATCCCATTGTTCACTAGACCGACTGTTGTACATGGCCGAACGTTGCAGACAGGTACAAATAGTAAGTACGCCGCCTATGCCCCTGGACGACTGGTTGTCTGTTTCCAGGATAGACGATCAGTCGGCCATTTATTCAATCGGTATTCGAACTATTTATTCAATCGGTCTGACCAAGTAAATAGTATTACCTAGTCGCCAAGGAATTAAGTAAGTAGGATAACAAGCGGCGGGTACCGGTTGTTTCCCTTTATTGCTAATGTTGGCTTTTAACTCGTAATTTGTTAACCTAGCAAGAGTAGTGGTTGAGAGTCCCTGTTTGTTAAAAACAGGCGGACGACTCATACTTTTTAGGCTCCATACTAAGTTTGAGTGACTATTAAGTTAACATAGGAGTTACTTAGTCTTCGTCACACTCTAGATTGAATAGTAGAGGTACCAGGCAGCGGAGGCCGGCTGGTCCTCTTGATTTGCCAATGTTTGTTGGCTATTAACTCAATAGGTTACCTAGTAGGAATAGGGGTTTGAGTGCCCTTGTTTGTTTAAAACAGGCGGACGACTCAAACCTTTTAGGTTCCATACCAAATTTGAAGGAGTGACTATGAGTTAACGTTGGAGTTACTCAGTCGCCGTCACTTTTGTTTGAGAAGTAGAGGTACCAGGCGGCGTAGGCCGGCTAGACCCCTTGATTCGCCAATGTTTGTTGGCTATTAACTCAATAGGTACCCCCTGCATTTATCCCAAGTAATACAGGCGGTCATCTGACTCAGATGTCAACTGCTACCACTGGTTTGGTTAGTGATAGAGTTATCCTTGTCTCAAAAACGGCTACGTGGTTGCCCTTGGGGACAGTCGTATAGGTGCCGTGTAATTAGTTTATAGAACAATGTTCCACCCAAAAGGGAGCTGCTCTCTGCGACGAATTTCATCCGGAGGGATGC